AAAAGTCGGATGCCATAGTCATGCGAGTCCATACGTAGAACAAGTAGTTTATGCTTTTTCATCAATTATTGTATCTAGTGTGCCTGCATAATTAAGAATTGTATGAAACATCTATAGAATTGTTTTTGAGTGGCCGTAACCATGCAAGAAATTTGGGTCATCAGTCAGCCATGTTCAGCGTAATATATTGAACTAGTCGAACTTGAGGAACCGCGTGCCCATAGTTCTCTCGCCCTCTGCATATACGTATATATATGAAGATAGAAGGCTCGTCAGAAAAAAAATCGAGTTGCGAGGTGGCGAGGCACTGATGAACTTCGTTTCGATGAAGTGCTTATGACCCATCTGGTAGACCCCAGTGGTGGACCAGCTGCGCCAGGTGCGTCTGAGTGCATGTTTGTGTTTCCGGTACCAGCTGCTGGTGGTCAGGGTTATGATTGGCTGAATGAAGGCAAACAAGCCCGAAACAGTGCTGTATCAATTTACCCCCTGACTCTGTCGTCTCCCCTCTGCTATCATAGCTTGGCCGACTTCGGCCTGGTAGGTGGTTGCCTGTTCGTGACCCCTATCGCCCATACGAAGCTTGTTTGCTTCGGGAAGCCAATGTATCGGTGTGCGCCCATTCCTGAGTGAATATATATATATATATGGAAAGGTTATACCGACAAAGACAAGGGAGACCGGAATGGCCATTTCTTTGTCGGTATAACCTTTCCAACATATATCACTAGTCGCTGTGCGACTGCCTGCGAGGGTTTAAGTATGAGCCCCAAGGCACAACGGAACGAGCATGTTCCGTAACCTGATCGGTGAGCGCCCACTATCATAATATATATATATATATATATATATATATATAGCAGCGAGGAGGGACGACAGAGAATGCGGGTAGATTGATACAGCACTGTTTCGGGCTTATTCTGCCTTAATTCAGCCAATCATAACCCTGACCACCAGCAGCTGAGACCAGAAACACAAAAATGCGCACAGACGCACCTGGCGCAGTCAGTCGACCACTGAGGCCTACCAGATGGGTCATAAGCACTTCATCGAACCGAAGTTCATCAGTGCCTCGCCACCTGTCATTCTCTGTCGCTGCAGATCGGGTATTTTTTGTGTTTCTGGTCTCAGCTGCTGGTGGTCAGGGTTATGATTGGCTGAATGAAGGCAGAATAAGCCCGAAACAGTGCTGTATCAATCTACCCGCATTCTCTGTCGTCCCTCCTCGCTGCTATTATGACTTGGCCGACTTCGGCCTGGTAATTGGCTGCCTGTTCGTGACCTTTGCCACACATACGGAGCTTGTTTGCTTTGTGAAGCCAATAGATCGGTGTGCGCCCATTCCTGATTGATAAATAAATTGCAGTGTATTGTGGTCAAACCGGAAAATCCGCCTCTACACGCCTACATGAACACCAATTGGCAGTGAAGAGGCGGGACCACTTATCCCAAGTCGCCATGCATACTCTTGAAACTGGGCACAAATTCGCTTGGGATAAAACACGCATTGTCGGTTCCTGCCCATATAAGAAAGGCCGAGAATTCCTAGAGGCCATTCACTCTGATGATTCATGCATCAATCGACGCATCGACCTTGATACCATGTACACAAGTCTCAAAGAAAAATGGAAAAGGTAATAGCCAATCACGACGTGACATCAGCCCACAGCATTAGCCTATCCTCAGTCATGACAGAGCAATATCGATTTTTTTTTCGGCATTGTTTAAATTTTGACTGTTTCTTCACACTTACTACACGTCTGAAGATGAGCTGGGGAACCAGACTCGAAAATTTACGAAATAAAGTTTGTTCATTTTCCCAAAGGACTCATTCTTCTTCGAAATATATACGTATATATTTGAAGACAAATAAGCTCTTTGGGAAAGGTAGAAAACCCTATTAAGTAAAGGTTCGGCGCTGGTTCCCCAGGTCGTCTTCAGACTTAAGAAAATGTACAAGAAACAATTAACATTTTAAACGTGCTGAAAAATCGATATTCATTTGGGGTTTGCGCCTGTAAGCGGCCGCTGTGTGCGTCATTCGGCATTGATTGACTTTCTTCTCCTCCACTTTTCCCTAAGATTTTTGTACGTGGCATCTAACTCAAAGTGTCGATTGATGCACGATTCATCGGAGTACATGGCTTCGAGAAACTCTTGGCCTTTTATAGAGGGACTAACTCCGACGATGCGAGTTTTGTCCCATGCAGTGCGTCCAGTGTCTAGAGTGTGCATGGCCATTTGAGATAGGTGGTTTCGCCTTTTAACTGCCAGCTGGTGTTCACGGATGGGTGTAGAGGCAGACTTTCCCGTTCGTCCACAATATACAGCATCACAGGCATCCCATGGGATCTTATAGACGATTTCTTTCTTATCAAAATAGCCAACTCTATCCTAGGGTGTAAAAGCTGAGTGCGTACAGTAGTTGCCGGTTTGTGTGCCACCGTTATTTGTTGTTTACTCAAGTGTCTTTCAACGAATTCAGACAGAAGTGTTTAATTTGGGCGCATGAGTGGAATTATCTAGTTCCTTTTTTTTTATCTATTGCTGTTTCATGCATCGACGTACGAAATCCCGAGGGTAACCGTTGTGGGAAAATAATTCAATTAGGTAATTTAGCTCAACTTTGGTAGCTTCCTTCATCAGAGCAATGTGTTTTTGCTCGATGAAGGAGACTTTTGACAGTACTCCGCTTGTGAGAGATCGGACTGTTGCTCTCGTAGTGTAGAATTACTTCCGCATATGTTTCTTTGCGGTAACTGGAAGTGTGTAACGTTCCGTCAGTCTTATGCTGTACGAGAACATCCAGAAATGGGAGTTTACTGTCAGCATCTTTTTGGAGCGTGAATTTAATTCCTGGAATGGTTGTGTTGTAGAGCATTTCTAGTTGATCGTTTTTAACGACAACAAATGTGTTGTCTACATATCGTACCCACAGCTTAGGGTTAATTAATGAAAGAGCTGCCGACTCTAGTTTCTGCATTGTCACCTCGGCAAGAAAGCCAGATATAGATGGTCTCATTGGAGTTCCTTTTAGTTGTTGATAATATTTGTGATCGGATGAAAAATATGTTTCTAAACAAAGGTCTATGATTTCAAGTAAGGCAGCTGCGGGAACATTCATGTCATAGGACTTTTGGAGTTCATCTGTGCATAGCCTTGCGAAATCGAACGGTATGGGTGTGAATAAAGAAAGGACCTCAAAGGAGACCATTATCTCATCCGCGGAAACTGTAATTCCTCTCAATTTCTCTAGAAACTCCATAGAGTTCTGAACGGAAGTTTCACAATCTCTCGTAAGTGGATGGAGTTAGTGGAATAGCCACTTAGAGATTTTGTAATTGGGTGCACCACTGAATGATACTATCGGTCGCAGTGGTACCTCAGGTTTGTGGAAGACGACAGAGTCTCGGGGGTAGATTGATACAGGACTGTTTCGGGCCTGTTCGCCTCCATTCAGCCAATCATAATCCTGACCGCCAGCTGGGATATGACTGGGTATATATTGGCGTGGCTCGCCAACGACGACTAATAAGCCAGAAATGGCCATTTCTGTTCCCCTTGTCTTTGTCGGTTATGTTACGCCATTCCATACAAGTAAATTTTCGAGACGAAGATTGATGGACAACTCCCATTTACGGGATTCCTCGACATCCAAAAAAACTGCTGGATCACCTCACACATCAGTTTATCGCAAAGAGGCATATTCGGAGGTCATCCTACATTTTGAGAGTAACCATCCGGTCTTTCAAAACGGAGTGCAGTCTACAGCCCTCTGAATCGAGCCAAAGCGTGACTTTGTACGTCAACGCATGAGGCACCAGCAATTCAAGGGAAAGGTATTTTCAATGCTACGGCCGTCCAAGCACCTGGCCAACTTTCCCATACGTGGAAAATGCATCTGAACTGGTCGAAAGACAACTAAAAAAATACCAGATACACGTAGCACACCAGTCAGCAACTACCTTACGCACACAGTTTGTACACCCTATGGACAGGGTTGGCTACCTCGAAAGAAAAGGTGGTCTACAGAATCCCATGCGTCAGTTGTGATGCTGTTTATTATGACCAAACTGGGAAATCCGTCTCAACCCGTATACATGAGCATCAGTCAGCGGTGAATAGACACGACCATCTATCCCAGATGACCATGCACACACTGGGCACACATTTGCGTAAGAGAACACTCGTATTGTTGGTGCCTGCCCAATAAGGGAAGGCCGCGAATTTCTAGAGGCGACGCACTCAAATGCATTTCAAAAGTGCCAAAAATCAATACTTTTCCAGAGTTTTTTCAGTAGGCGTCCACCGCATACCTTATTGTGTATCGATCGGTTCCCATCTCTTCCACTTTCTGAGATTTTAGTACCTGGCGTCTAATTCAATATGCCGATTAGTGCATGACTCATCTGAGCGCACGGTTTCAGGAAATACGCATCCTTTTTTGGTAGGACAGACGCCGACTTTGCGAGTCATGCCCCATGCAAATGTACCCAGTGTCTAGTGTGTGCATGGCCATTTGAGATAGGTAGTTTCGCCCCCAGACAGCCGAGCGTGATTCGCGCATGCAACGGCAGCTGATCAGTCCATCCGATTATGAGGTGAGGGCCCATAGGCACACAGGATTTGCAGCAATTACGACAGCCATTCCAGTCTCCCTTGTCTTTGTCGGTAATGTTATTCTGCCTATGTATCATGCGCCGCTGTGCGGCTGCTGGTTGGGCTCGAGAGAGAGCTCTTAAGGCACAACGGAACGAGTGAGTTCCGTATGAACGATCGGTGAGCGCCCCCTACCACTATATATATATATATATATATATATATGGTAATGGTATTATACCGTACTCCCGACCTAGATACTTGCTAAAAGCCCAGACACGTGTTTCGCCGATATTCTGCCGCTGCGTGACACAGCTGCGAGGGGTTCGGCTCTTCAGTGGGACCCCCAGCGTTCTCTAGCGGTTTCCGGTATATGAACTCCAGAGAATAATCAGGTGAATAATTTCGGAAATTAATCAGTGCAGAACTTGGAGTTAAATCTCCGGGACATGACTTTTTAGGGTCAGAACCGAAATTTCAATGAACATTTGAGTCGAAGACAATCAACTACTGTGGAATAACCACGTATATATATATATATATATATATATATATATATATATAAAGAACTAAAGGGCAAGCGCGAGGTTAGGCCGGACGTGGATCTAAACACGGGAGAGCCTACGACGGACCTACACGTAGCCACACCGCAAATCGGGCCCGACGAAGGCGCAGTCATCAATACTGTTGCCTCAACTACTACTCCGGCAGACGGGGAGAAACGCGGTCAGAGGGATGCAATCAAGACTAGCAACCCAGCACGACAATTAAGGTCAACGCGAATGCGGGCGATGGCCACCAACGTTCAAATGCCGCCCCCCGACGAGAGACAGGCAGATTGACAGCAGTCACCCTCCCTCCCGCTCTGCCCCGGCGACTACAGAGACGATCCCTGTGCGTATGCGGGCCATTAGCGCCAAAGCCGATTAACCACCCCCTCCCCCCTATAATTACCACCGTGTTAGCATGACTGATATCTATCCCCCTCCTACAAATACTGTGTGATGCCGTACGATACTCACCTCCGACGATGAAAGCTTGTCTGCTTTTGAAACGTCAGGACAATACAATCATGGTTCCCGAGATCGCCTCTTCTTCTCATTTATGTCCGGGGACTCGAATCTTCGCTTCTATTATATATATATATATATATATATATATCAACATAAATGAAGATTCGAGGTCCAGATAGATTATCCCGTTCGTGTAGCAGGCATGCCTATAACACGAGACAGGCAGCGAGACAGAACAACTCTGAACTAGCAGGAACAAGCACCCTACCACTACTATGATGATGGAAACGAGGCAGTTTCCGAAACGTCAGCACCAATACTGTGTTGTCCATGGCATCACTTTTTCTTCTTCGTCTTCTTTTGGGGGTGATGAACGGGATATATATATATAGCTGAGTAGGTGCCGACAAAGACAAGGGAGACCGGAATGGCCATTTCTGGCTTATTAGCCATCATCAGCCAGTCATACCCAACCCCAAGTGTGGTTCACTTGAGATTCGTAATCTGGTCGGTGAGTGCCTGTCTGTCATAATTGATATTCCCGATCACAACCGACAGGACAACGGGCCCGTGACTCAATGGTAGAGTGTCAAACTCCATGACCAAAGATCCCGGGTTCGAATTTCAAATGATCCACACTTGTAGTTGGGTATGACTGTCTGATGACGGCTAATGAACCAGAAATGGCCATTCCGGTCTCCCATTCCGGTCTACTACTACTACTACTACTACTACTACTACTACTACTACTACTACTACTACTACTACTACTACTACTACTGCTACTACTGCTACTACTACTACTACTACTACTACTACTACTACTACTACTACTACTACTACTACTACTACTACTACTACTACTACTACTGCTACTATTCGATGTACGATTGCCTGCGAGGGTTCTAGTATGAGTCCCAAGGCACAACGGAACGAGCACGTTCCTTGACAAGTCACAGCAGTCCGCCGAACATAGCCCCCATTTGTCCAAGACATAATTGAATCATCACTGTCGGGATAGCAGTAGCGTTGAGTGGCTCTCTGGGTAGGTGGTTTTCTGTACACCATGGATTTGTAAATAAACTTATCCGCCCACTCCGTTCAACACATCATTTTAGGGTTTCGGTATTTTGCCGTGCAGCAGGGGCCAATTTTAGCCATGCCGTCATACTGCTGTGTCATATGAACTCCAGGAAATCTTACGATTTTCCTGGCCGGTACTCGGCCACACGTGAAGGTATTGCCGTTGCGTGATATGCGGTGTTCTTAGTATCCGAGAGCCTGTTTATTTCTCGACTAACCGTCAGTGAAGACCGTTCCACCACCCGTCATATGTGGCCGCACCGAGTAGCACGTACCTGGGCTGACAGATAGACCGGATCTCCCTGGGTTCCGGTTACCCCGGCGGATAAATTTTTTTTGCGGATGAAATCATTCGTCCCCTGTTAAACCTCGTGTGTGTATTCAATCCCGCCACCCAAAGGATGCTTCTTGTGACCATAGTAGAACCCCATGACCTGATTGTCATGCAACGTACAATACTTATGGACCTTTTACGCTGTGAGGACGTGAAGATGGACCTGTCTGTTGTTCTAATTGCCGACCAATAGTGGGACGGTCCTCGACGAAGCAAAATGCGAAAGAGGCAGACGGTAAGTTTGCAAGTAGGCAGTCACTGACCGCCAGTGGCAGCGTTATCTGGGTGTGGGAGATTGAGGTCTGGTACACCGGCTTTTATAAGACTGACATCACTTCCAATACCAGCACCTTAGCATGACGACAGTGAACCTTCAGTATCCGTGTCCTCTTTCTGCTGCCGTATTGCAATTAAATCACAACGGACGGCGAGGTTTGTTCCTGCAGCCCCGCTTAGTTGACATCGTGTGCATAGCTTCCTAAAAAAATTTAGTAGGTCCGAATACGCTGACTTTACATACATCACGTGTTTGTGCCCTCCTTCCTACTTTAATCCTTCGGTTACATCAAGCATCGACTCGCACGTGCTTCCCTGTGCGTGCTTTGAGCTCTGCTTGAGCTCCCTTCTTCTCCCTAACCCAGCGAGTGACTAAGTTAGGTATGTTAGTTTAAATTATTTTAGGAAGCTAACCATATCGTGCCAATCAGGTGGGACTGCAGGAGCAAACCTCGCCCACAACGGACTAATTGGCCTACACCAAAAATCACGGAGCCTTATGAAATGGATGTCTGGCAAACTGTTGTGATCCACGCTACAATACCCTTGGCAAACGATGCGTACAGCGGCTGCAGTTTACTGGGGTACGTCAGTAGTACGAAAATCTTGCTAGCGAATCTAGCGTAGATCCTTCATATTGGCTACTGAAATGTTCCAATACTGAGCTAACACACAAAGTCTGACATGACTACATGCCTGAAGTCCGTATCCCTGGCTCACACTCAGGACGTCAAGATCCTCAAAAT